GGTTTCCGTTGGCGTCAGTGTTTGCCACCACCTCTTCCATCAGTTTCTTCTGACACTCGGGATTAATGGCCAACAAATAGCTCATGTGTGACAACAGATGACCAGTTGTCTCAAAACCGGCCAAAAAGAAAAGAAGACTATTAGACAGTATGTCGAGGTCTGTCACTTCCAGTTTGGATTTGTTAGTCAAGAGTTTGCTGTTGTCATCCATCCCGTGGTGCGCCTCCGCGTCCATCAGTTGGTCGTCGGTGTCTTCTAAATCGTTTACATTTTTCTGTGCGTTAATCAAAAGTTGCAGAAAGTCGTGATGGCGTCCACTCTTGTCTTTCCTTCTTTGATTCACAATTTCTGTGATCTTTTAATGCAATAATTATTTAGTCAATTGAATAAAATCCTAATTATAATAAATTATAACTACTCACAGCTTTGATAAAGAATTCAGTAGTCGTCGGCTCTAATATTGGTATATTGAAGAATTTCATCACTGATTTCATTGTCATATATCCAAAAGATCTCCAAATGTTTAGATTAAACAGTTTCTTAGCGTTGACTACAAATGGATTGTTCGGATCGTTATGTGTGTCAGTCTTCGTAGCGAAGGCACAGCTGGCGATCACATCCATAGTGTAGTTACCCATCAGTGATCGCACGTCAATCTCTTGATCGCCGTTCGCCGCCTTTTCCAGCATTTTGTCCACACCTTTAACGCAGTGCTCAACCAATGCATACATTTTACGAATCTTTCCGGTACTGAATGTCGGAGAAACCTATTGCCACAAGAATTGGGCAAATATATAATAAATAACAATTTGTGAACTAATCGTATAGTAAATGAGTCTTACAATAGATCGCAATCGTTTCCACTCATCATCTTTAACGGCTGTCAACATGTGATCTCGTATTACATCAATATCTGCTAAATCGTTACGATTTACAAAAAGGTTAAAGTCTTTGATCATAATATTCTTCACTAATTCTGGTTCGGCTACTATTAGTTGTGGTTCTGATCCCATATATGTACTATTAGTTTGGAGTAAACAATTTAATTAATTATTATTTTTTAAAATTAATATAAATTATTTGTTGTTAAATTTTATACAAACAATATACCCATAAATACTTCCGTATGTCTTAAGCCTGTTGTCTTCAATTTCATGAAAAGTACGAAAAAACATTTCCCAAACATTTCCTAATAATACGATAGGTTTGGGACCTTTTATACCACGAGATGACCAGTAATCGAAATTACGGCTTAAATAACTAAACATTTAATTTAAAAACATTTTAATTAAATTCGATTGAATTTTAGATAATATGTTAAAACATATTATACATACAAATAAAGGCCAATGAGTGCCGAAATTATAACACTAAACGAGGTATAACTCAATGAATACATCATTTAATTAAGATATATGTTTTTAAAACAGATATTGCAAACAAACTTATATATAACCAAACTTTAAGAAACAATATTAAAGAATTTGTGTTTGTTTGAGAACTTAACTTCATATGTTATGAAAATAGCAAAACTAGACTAACTTTATATAAAGTACTGTAAAACTAACAGTACTGATGGTTATACTGTAGATTGGGAATACGTTTAAATGAATTTTTTTTGTATCCATAGGTTCAGTACATTAAGGCCGCGATAAACCTAACTTTGCATTACAAACAATATTATTCCTATGATATATCTGTACTAAGATGTTACACAGCAAAATGTTACCGTGTTACTCCGCATATAATTGTATGCAACTACTGTATATCTCGATTTGCACACAAGTAGTGCAATTATATCCAGATATGGTTGCAGTAGTTTTTAACACTTTTTGTTGTAATTAATTTTCGTATATTTATATTAAAAAGAAAGCCAAATGAGTTGTCATTGGATTTTAATTTTTGAAATATGTGAGATAAATAACAATTAAAAGTAAATTATAAAAATTATAATTATTTTCCTATCAATTAATGTTTAATAGAAAACTTATCAATATTTAAAATATTTAACACTTATTGTTTGAGTAATATTTATAATATATATAATATATTTATAATATTCACTATATTTTAATGTTTGTGTATATGTTTAAGATAATAGAATTATCATTATAATTGATAAATATGATAAGCTAATTATAAATCACAGAATAACAGTGTTTTGTCTGTTAAAGTGTGAAGTGAAGTGAATGGTGAAGTGAAAGTGAATTGATTTAACTATGTCTCTAAATAAATTCAATAAAATTTGTGAATCTATCGGTAATATCTGTGACTCGTCCAGAATGTCTCAACAAAAATGTGATAGTGTTACTGATTTGATGAACAAATTGCAAATCATGTTTAAATCACAATTAATGAAAAACCAAATCAATTCAAATGCAAAAAATACGCCCACTTTTACTACTAATCCGTCGACAAGTCAACAAACATCACAAGTAATGGAAAATTCTCTACCATTGGATATCTCAGAAAATCTCACTCATGATAACAACGATAGCATTGAATGCAATGAGAAGTCAAAGTTTGTGAGTCTTTCGACAGAAGAAAAACTTGATTTCATGTTTGAGAAGATTCTGGAAATGAATGCAAAAAACAACTCAAATAATGGAAAATCTCGTCAGAACTTAAAAAAGTTTCCAAAGTCGAGGGAAAATGTGAACTTTAACGGCAATCAATCACGAAATCACCAATACTTTCATCAAAATAAAAGGTTTTATAACAACAATAATAATCACAATAATTACCATAAAAATACTCGAATATTTCACAATAGATTTCAGAATAAAAAACATTATGTAAACCAAACACAATACCAAAA